CATAGCAAGGTCTACATACCTTTTTGTAATTTTATCTTTCCTGTGTGGGTGCTCCTTTCCCATTGCTACGGCTCCCTTCAGTGATAATGCTCCTGGCCAGTACCATTCTAATTTGTTGCCAAATTTGCCTTGTATTGTGTCGCTGATCTTGTTTCTGAAACCTCTCCCCCTGTCATCTCTCTGCAGTGGAGAGGGCAGCCACGTGTCTGGTCAGAGCAACGGTCGGGACCCCCAGGCGCTGGCTAAAGCTGTTCAGATCCACCACGACACCCTGAGGACCATGTACTTCGCCTGAGCTCCATCAACCATCACCACCATCGACCCCTCCCACCTCATTTCTACCTGAGTGGGCACACGGCCCGCGACCACCTCATCCCCATCCCTTATTCCCAATGACTGCCCACCACACATACTCCACAGACCTGCCAGTCATTCACCCGAATCCCAAGAAACAAAAGGCCCTTCACCTGTAAACACAGACTCTACAGCCTCATGCACTCAAAAGGTTATGAATATTATTATTATTGTCATTTTGTTGTTTTTACTTTACCAGGACTATTGCTCTTTTTATGTTGAATTTTTAAACGTGGTATTATTATTATGTAATTGTATTGTACGCTACCTTCACACTCCTGTGTATGTAAGTATGCAATACGGATGGGAGGAAAGTAGGCGATAAAAAAAAAAGAAAAAAATCACAAAAAACTTTTTTAACTGCCACCACAATGCTGCCTCTCTACCCATCCAAATGCCGGATGCCAGTGTTCCAAGCCCCTTAAGTACGGGGGTCCTCCAGAGGGGTGGTACTGGGCACGCACACTTACATATATCATTTTATCGTTATCATGAACTACATTCATGTTTTTAATGTTTTTGAATAATGTTATTTTTTTAAACGGCCTTGAGGAGTCTGAGGTAGGGTACATTAGCACTTAGTGTTAGCATGTAGGTGCCACCAGTCCTGCACATAAGAGTTTGTTAGTACTTGTGAGGCTAGCCCTCTGGTCTTTATTTTAGCAGAGACAGAAAGAGCAGGTGTAGCATATCGTAGTTACAGGAGAGAAGTCCTGCCGCACTCTCTGTGCTGGTTGGTCAGTCCCTGAGAGATTTAGCCTATAGAGGCAAGCTTAGCATAACAATAGAGGGACCATTTGCATAGAGTGTATCAAATATACTTGCACCCCATGCACCTAAACCAGCATTATTAACCAGCCAAAAGTTATGCCAACCAATGGAAAAGGGGCACTTAAACAGGAAGATAATCTTTCATTTCTGTATGCGTTGCTCTTTTAGGATTTACGAGGCACTTTTTTTTTAATTTACCTATCGATTTACCTTCAAAATGGTGAGACCTGTCTGTTTGGAGGCTTGACACAGAGTAGTTTGAAGTTTTCACACCCACACCTGCATAGCTTTCAGAACAAAGAGGTAACTAGGGCAATAGGCAAGGTCAACACTCCTCTGTAGATTTATATGCAGGCAAATATAAAGTCTGTGAACACTTAAGTGCTGCAAAGCTGAACTCGCATTCAGCAACCGACCTTGCTCCGATCATTCTGCACATTCCGACATGTATCAGTGGAGATGACGCCACGCAGTGCACTCTAAACTTCCCACGCACTTCTTTGCGTACCTTTACACACTTGTTCCCGTTTTGACACAAAGCTCTTCCCTCTGCAGGCATTTACAACTCATGGCCTGAATAGCAGAAGCACACACCTCTCTGCCCTCTTCGTCTCTTTACTTAGCATGTAGAGACCAACCTCTTCAAATGCACTTGTCCACTTATTTCCCTCAAAGCCAAGTCACTCATCTCCCTTTCCATCATCACTTCTGAAGTCACACACCTGCAGCATCCCCTGCCCCAATCCCCTAGCTTGTGTTAGCCAATCCCCATTGGTGCTCTGTGTGCATGGGCGGCACAGGTAGGGGGTTGCTACATTGGACAGGATGGGCCACTATTACTACTACATGATATGCCCTGCCTTTACATCTAGTCACGTTCTGGATTTATGGAAAAAAAAAAGCATGTGATTATTTTTATGACTGGATATTCTGAGCCACCTTATTTTGGTTTCCTTAGCGGTAGGAGCCTCGTGCTCGCCACTGCCTGTCAGTCGTTTTGCCTTGATTGTGTAATGGTTATAAGGACTGCTTTTTTCCTTTGTCATTATTATTATGAATATTGTGACTAGTGTCAGAGTGTATCCTTAAGAGGGCACTGTGGAGACAGTCTCAAAATTCCACCTCAGTTGCCCTTTAAGCGCCTCAAATCTTGTCTGATGGTCGGAGCCCCTTTGAGCTGAAAGGGATCAAAAGATAAGAGATCAGATGAGTTTGATTTTTAAATCATGTTTATTAACTTGCATAATCAAAATGCCTTTGTACACCGTTTTACTGATCCTTCATTGTGTCCAAGGTGATTTGTATATATAAATATATAATATTAACCTGTTATGTATTTTGGCTCACCAGTTGCCGGGCCTTTCACAGTCGGGGCCAATGTTTTACCCCTCATTCTGTGCTGGGAAAAAAAAATTAAAAAAAATAGAAAAATCAGTCAGGGGGCATTTCCCAGTATCACTGAAACCAGATGCAGTTCTTCACTCACTGAAGCCACAAAGCACCTTGCAAAGGGGGGAGACTAAATGGCAGTCACCCTGGAAATGCATCATGTGGACACTGGAGAGTCTACAACTCTCCACACAGCCTCACTGTCTGACTAAGCAATATTGAAGCCACTGATCAAGAACAGTCCTTGTCATAGCACTTCCCAATAGATTTGAATGAAAGGACATGGAAGCATATTATTTTGGCTCTGTATGTGATAGTATGGGAACTCTGTTGGGGCGGGTTATTTTTTAAAGAAAATAAAATTGTTTTTTATTACTCCTGTCGTTTTTGTCTTTTACTTGCGTATAAATTTAATACTATATTGTTTGCTCGGATTTTAGGTCACCAGCAAGGACCACGCCACAATATGTCATTCAGATGTTTAATTGTAATTCAGGCGGTATTAGTTGTTGAGGACAGGGGAACGAATGTAAGTGGGGGTGAACATGGAGGAGGGATGTCTTCTGTTAGGCTGATCTGGGAGGATGTATTAGTGTGGAGGTTCTGTCACAGGTGTTTTTCCACCCGAGCTGATGACAGGCCCCCCAGACGGTACCTAGAATGAGACATGGGAGAGGTATGCAGCAGATTGAGTATGAAGAGATGAGAGGAGAAAGGAGGAGCGGATGAAGGAATGTTGGTTGGGATGAGGTAGGGAGGATGATGGATGAAGGGAAGGGAAAGGGAGGGTGGGTCGAGAAATCTGAGACAATAAGAGCAGGATGGGTTGACCAGGTATGAGCAGGCTTGGCAGATAATCATCAAGGTGTGGTTGAGGCGTAGCCCTGCTCCTGAACCTAGGTTTTATCTACACTTAAAGAGGAACACCACCTAAAAAAGAATTCCAGTATGTTACTTCTACCACCTAAGAAAGTTAAATCAATATTAGTGAACATAAGCTACTTTCAAACCGCGAAATCAAAGAAGTAAGTCTTAAACTTGTGATGGCACACAGAATAAAGTATGGATCTGCTCCGTAGATAATGAATGGGAGCTTGGTTTTGTGGACACACACAGTGTTTTCTTTTTTCTTATACCAAAATTATCTTTATTCTCTTGTAATGTTCTCAGTCAGTGCTCTCAGTCTCATCTAGAACATCTCCCCCATCATTGTCAGTGGAGCAGCTCCAGACTTGACACCCTATGACATCACAATTTTGAGTTTTAGAACTCCAGTTCAGAGCTGTCCAACTCATTTTAGTTCATGGGCCACATACAGCCCGGTTTGATCTCAGATGGGCCGGACCAATAAAACCATCGCACAATAACCTCCATCAGCTCCAATATTTTCCCTTTTTTGTGTAAAAAATTTCAAGTACATTCTGTAGACATTCATCCTTTTACAAAACAGATGAACAGCCTTACATGTCTTAAGAAAAACAAGTGCAATGTCAACAGTATGTCTCAGCTTTTCCACGTTCAGTTAAACATGGTCACAGTAAGTAATCATTGTTATATCGGAGAACTGTATTCTGTTCAGGAAGGCGAAGCTTTTGATTTACTGGTCCATCTACATATCCAACCCTCACCTATGGCCATGAGCTCTGGGTAGTGACCGAAAGAATGAGATTGTGGATACAAGTGTTTCCTCTGTGAGGTGGCTGGGCTCAGCCTTAGAGATAGGGTATGGAGCTCGGACATCCGGAGGGAGCTCGGAGTAGAGCCGCTTCTCCTTCATGTCCAAAGGGGTCAGTTGAAGTGGTTTAGGCATCTCACCAGGATGCCTCCTGGGCACCTCCCGCTGGAGATGTTTCGGGCACGTCCCAGTGGTAGGAGGCCCTGGGGCAGACGCAGAAAACGCTGGAGGGATTACATATGTCGTCGGGCCTGGGAACGCCTTGGGGTCACCCAGGAGGAGTTGGAAGGTGTTGCTGGGGAAAGGGATGTCTGGAGTTCTTTGCTGGGCCTGCTGTATGGATGGATGGATGAAGTACAATGTGTTGCCTACAAGAAGTAGGCAACACATTAACCTGCTCCCGAAACCTGACACCTCTTAGTCTACTCATCTAAGGGGCCGGATTGGACCCTTTAGTGGGCCGGTTCAGGCCTACGGGCCATATGTTTGACACCCCTGCTCTGGATAATAGATTTGGGAGGGAGTTGTTCATTTGTTTCATATTTCTGGACTGTCTTAGACCATAGGAATGTGTATGAATTTTGAAAATGTGCAAAGTCCCCCTTTAAACCAATAATCAAGTCAGGACAGAGGATAAAATTGGACTTGGACATTTTACATGGCAGCCCTAAACTCCCAGTCTTAACACAAATGTAGGCAATAATAAATTATAGCGTCTGATGTATTAAAAACATGATTTTTTTTAAATTTTTTGTCATAGTATTGTAAACGTAGTGTTACCTTTGGGTGAAGGCGGAGTTGATTCTTCTGACGTCTGGTGACACAGAGCCCACCTCTTCCTGTCGGTGTCAGAAAGGCAACTTCACCATATTTAGCTGGCTTACCGAAGCCCCGCAGAGTTGATCTGTCAACCAGACTGGAAACCCTGACACTTCTCGGCGGACACTGCCCGGTGTTGACAGCTTTATTCTAGCACCGGGACACAAACTACAGGAGGACGACGTCGCTGGGATATGGCGCTCGAGAGACGGGGCCGTGTCAACGGCTGTTTTTGACGCGATAAAAGTAGCTGTCGTCTGTCAGAATTCCAACTATCCAGCAGCCGAGCTAGCCTGTTAGCTAATTACTGTAGCTACACCGACGGTCGCTGTGCAGAAGACACGAATTTATGTCGTCTCTGTCCATGTTCATCTTTCAGTAGGAATTCATTTGGACTCCGTGACCCCGCTGTGATGATATCCTGACAGTTCCTCCCGTCCGTCCCTACCACTTTCCCAAAGCCTGGCTAGCGAGCTAACTTGGCTAACTAGCAGGTTTTCACTGCCACAGCGTCGCGTTCAGCAACCAGTAGCTTTCGCCGTGGCAGTGAAATCGGATTAGGTACGCTGACCGTGTGCGAGCGGCGGTGTGCGGGGACGGGGACGCTGAGGACCCCCGGTCGGCGACACGACCGTACCGTAGGGCCGCTGTAGACAGTCTGCAGGGAGAGGAGCTAGCAGAGACCAGGACACTCGGCCATTCAGCGCAGCAGAGGCGGTGCACTGCCGAAGGAGACACCGGATTGAACGGAGGAAGAAGTCCCAAACCTTTGACTACTGTGATCCGGGAAGTGAACCGGGCAGAGACCTCATGAATGGAAATCGGAACTACAGGTAAATTATCCCCAAACGTCTCTTTACTAAGTTGTTGACTGTTGTACAGTGCATGTGTCAGTGAAAGTTACATTTCCAAAGGGTTGTATTAGCCAGTGAGATGAGACACCGGGATGATGGGGGATGTTACAGCTGTGACAGCCCTGCTGAAGCATGTAGGTGTCTCTCAGCCTCTGCTGTTATTTTGCCTAAACATGAGTCAAACTTGAAGTAATGAAAAACAGTCCCCGTCATGCCAGACTGAATTTAACTTCTTTGAACTCAAGAGTCACGTATGTGGCTGTTGTAATAAATGCACCAGTCATTCCCCATGGGTACTGAGGAGTTAGCTTTCTGTCTCAGTCACTGTTAAGTCATTAGCATCTTCAGCCAGGTGTGTGGGCTTCATTAAACTGGTGCTGATGTGAAGCCTGGTATTCCCCTGCATTATAAGGAATTCTCCCACACTAGTAAAATATTTCATGGTTTTAGTTTTCACCGTGCAGAATTAGATGTTGTGTTCAGCTTAAACGTAGCATGACTAGTCACCTGAGAGCTGGTCACAGTGGGTAAACTCTCTGTCCTTTCAAGACCCCAGACTAGCCTCAACATATTTAGCACTAACTTTGTCTCACAGCAACTACGGGGTAGGGTTTTAACCTATTTTGCCATGCTTATACAGGTTGTGCATAAAACATTTAGCCATTGCTGTTTTCCAATTCCTTGACAAAATCCTTAGTTGTTTTTGGAGCAAATAAGTACGTTTAACCTGCAGAGTTTATCTTGCAAACGTTGCTACTCAACATATTCATCTAAAGCAATAACCTCATGCAACCTTGCAAATTCCTGTCTCGCCCCGCTGATTAAAATGGTCAACCAGAGTCCACGGCCAGTAAAACGTCTCTTTCTCGGCCACAGTGGCAGTTAAACAGTCCGAACCACCTGGCTTTGTCTCAGCTGTAACGGAAGCTTTCCACTTGTGTGACCATAAACTGAATGCCAGGTACTCTTGATCAGCCGGTGACACATGATACAGCAGTTGGTTCTTCACCCACCCCCTCCCTCTGAAGAGGAGATCCCTCTCTGCTGCCCACTGTCTCATTAGCGTCTCTGCTCCCCTCACTTGGGAGATTTCTCAGTGTCTGTAGCATGAGGGAACAGGAGGTGTTTTCCCAGTAACCGAGCACCTATATTGAAGTTCAACAGACTAAAACAGTCATGTGTCAAGTGTTTGGGCAGGTGTGTGAGTACAGCTGGGCAATATATCGATATCGTGAGATGCGATCCGAGTATTGTAAGCGTTCTTATCCTGGTTTTAAAGGCTGCATTACAGTAAAGAGGTAACATTTTCTGAACTTACCAGACTGTTCCAGCTGTTTCATTATTTGTCTTTATCTACTTAGATTACTTATCTAAAATCTTAGAGTGTAAATATTGTTAGAAAGCAACAATTGTCAACCCTCAACATCGATATCAAGATATTTGGTCAAAAACATCATGATATTTAATTTTCTCAAAATCACCCAGCCTTAGCTTAAAGTGTACTCTGAACTAGATTTAATTTGGTGTGCTCTCACAGGTGAAATGACAAGTTTGCGACCAAAAAGTAGTGCCAGATTTTAAGGGTGGAAATCACCAGAGCCCTCACGATACCATGCTGTCCTATAGAATATTACTGTGATTTTCAACGTTATGCAATATGCTGAGTACTGTGATTAAAATTATATA